TGACATTGTATCTGTCAGATGACCTAGAGTCAGTCCAAAAGCGAGCATTAAAAATAATCCTGCCTCATCAAGAATATGAAAACGCTCTGCAGTTTACTAATTTGCAACGCCTTAGCGAAAGGAGGAATGATATAACAACAGCGTTGTTTCAGAAGATAGTAGCAGATTCCTCACATAAGCTTCATGACCTTTTGCCTCCTCGTTTAGAACGTTCAACTATGGAACTTAGGACTCAATCTTCATTTAATACTAACTTTAATACCAAACGTTTTAGAAATAGTTTTATAACTTGTAACTCTTTGAAGATGTAATTTAGTTAATTTATTTATATATGTATTATATGTAATCTTAAACGTATTTCAGCAATATGGCTGCCAAATCTCTTTCTTGCTTGTTTCTGTTTATAAACGAGCTTATGATGCACCCTATCGGCACCGCAGGCTTAACAAAGGATAGTTTCTGCCTGTGTTCCGACGCCACACTTACGACATGGTTGTGGAAGTCGCCCGCCTTCCCTTAATCGCTTCATGTGAAGTCCACAGTATTCATCTATGGAGCTTCGCCCACATGTGATGAGCTTTCCGGGTAGAAACCACGCACACTTGCTCTTGCCCTGCCTCATGGCTGTCGAACGTTTGGATTACTCTATGAGAGTATATCTCTCTAAATAATAGACCTCGATGGCCGGCCGGGCCGGCGCGGGGGGGTGGGCCAGCCGTCTTTGGCTCCTGCCGTTTTCCTGGGTTTGACCTTCGCTGTAATTATGCTAGCATATTTACAAGAAGTACATAAGCGAGCTAGGGCTGGGGCGCTTAGATTTGTCTATACTCCTTCTCAAACTGTGAGGTGCGCTAGAAACGACGCTTTCTCAAGGTGAAGTGCGCCAGCGGCAACGCTCTTTATACTACTGTAACAGCAAAACTGGACTCCGAACAGCAATCGAGTTACGTTTTGTAGGATAATCGGATTATATTAGGCAAATCTGAACGGCGTAATATTACGATGATTTATAAAATCTGTCACTTAAATGCGAATTTTCAGTACGTCAACAAGTGCATTTCATGAGCTTAATTGAAAATTTGGATTATTTGAAGAGCTATGACATGTCGCTGGACTTAAACAGATAAATATAAGTTCCTTAATTTTGCCTCCAAAGTCGGGTACTATTTGCGAATTTTTTACGACGCCATATTGATACTTGTGACGTAGATAGTTGAACACGTCTGTTTCCGTCAATATAATATTATATTATAGGAGGTGATTTTGTTGTCGTTTGTCTTGTCTTAAAAACAAATAATGACAGTATTTTCAATAAAATATTAAAAAACAAGTTTTCCAGAAAGTATGGCCTCGAATCAGTGCTCAGATAATTCGAATTCGATGTCTGAATGCGTATCTGATTCGAGCTCGGAATCCATGGGTTATGTCGAGCATTTAAACGACTTCGCATATGACGATGAACCGCTCGCAGGAGATGGTGATGAAGTGCACACTCCAGATGATCCCGATGGAATTCTCCCTGCGACATTAGAACAACGAAGTGATGGCGTAATTCCACTCGGTGAATGGTAAGTTGTTGTTTTCTCCTGTTTGTAATATACATAAAGTTACTTTATAAACCACAATGCTCCCACGTTTCAGGTGTAATTGTCAATGCTGTCATACCGATTTGTTAGAAGGCGCATTAGAGTACAGATGCTGTAAGGAAATAGGACCAGCTTTGCAGAAAATGACATTCGATGGCAGCATTGAGATAATATCATGCATAACACAGTATGCCAAATTTGGGCCTTTAGTTCATGAGGCTGTCCTTGAAAACGTCGGGCCACTATTGAGAGATAGGAATGGACGTTCTTATTGCCGCCAAGCATCACAATCATTAAATATGTAAGATTGTAATTGTATGAGAAACAATGTTATCATCAACATTGTTTCATCAACAATAATTAGTCCAACCTTTTTATTTACTTCAGGTACTTGAGAGCTGTGGCATACAGATGGTTGATGCGATGGTTTTGTGGGTCTATGGGATGGGAGAATACTCGGCCTTTACCTGCTTGTGTTTACCACTTTATTCGGAAAGCATATCCAAGTGGTAACACAAACGGTTACATACCATTAGAGGGCGATGAAGGAATAGTCTATTAACTTGTGCACTGAAGACTGTTGACCTTCTTTGCTGAGTTTGGAATGGTCAGGAAATATGCCTAGATGAAAACCAAATAGGAGATACATGGATGCACTATATAAGTTGACATGCAGTTTAATGGTTTGAAACAAGAGTAAACAATAAAAACAAATTGGTGCAACTACTGAGAGGTTAAGCTGAAAGAATTAATTTTAAGAAAATCTTTTCTTCAATGTCAGTCTGGGAAAAAAGACAAAACAAAAATATATGGAATTAAATCATAGCATAAATGTAAAAATGGAAAATAGCAAGCCCTTCAAATGGCGAATCGTTTGCTTCTCCAGTGCATACTTCAACATGCTCAGCTCCATCACTAGTAGATGGTACTTCCTCATTGAGAGAACATGTTTCCTTCAGCAATGGCTTATGGAGAGTAAATCGAATAATCAACAAAACTTATATCGAATTTACATATGACAAAAAAATAATAACATAAACAAGCGTAAACTTACTTGTCTTCGCTTTCGATCGGTTATTTCGTCCTGTAATTGTTCAGGAATCCCAGCCAAGTCAATGGTTGGGATAGCACCTTTCTTCAACCTTCTTTTGAGCTTGACTTGCATGCTCAAATTAAGGTGAAAACAAGAATCTTCAAAATGCGCAGAACACAGACACGAGATAGAGGAAGCCTCAAAACCTGGTCTATGTTTACGCACAAAATTTACCTATTTTCTATGTCTTTGCGGCTCTGTTTCCTTTTTAGGAAACAGATGCATCGACATTCCATCGGTTTTTGAGTCATTGGCGCAACTAATTTGATTAGGTCCACCAGCAACACAGCGTTTTCCTCCGCCTTTCTTTTAAGATTACTAGTAGAATACGCCATGTTGATATATGTGTTCAACTTTCTACGTCACAAGTCATTAGCATACCGATCAAAAAGTTCGCAAAAAAATACTGAAAATCGTGACTTTGAACGTCCGTAAAATCACTTTCACCAAGCCATTTTAATTATAACTGCAGATTTAAAATCACTGAAACAAGGTCTTTCAAATTAGCTAATAAAAAAAGGGGGGCTAAAATTCGAAATATAAACACTTTAAAAAATAGACTCAATAAACTGAATAAACTAAGAAAATATATGTTTAATGTCTGAATTTCAAGATTTTTTGTCGAATTCTGACCGTTTCCTGTGCCACATTGGATACCCCATGGATCCGCCCCTGTATAATACGTATTTACCGACTGGGAGGTCCGTATACGGAAAAACATTTTCACAAGGTCTGCAACTTAATGTTGAGACTAAAATTTGATGCGTTTCAACAAACTTCGCTTTGTCTGGACAGTAAAATGGAATCTTGGAACGACATCTTTCATCTGAATACACCTTGCTTACTCGTTAAACAATTTACATCGCTTTCAAATCAATTTTATAAAATTTGCATTTCACTTCGTAAACAAATACATTGCGAAAAAATATGTTGAGACGAAAACTGGATTTTCTACAAACTTTGCTTCGTCTGGATAGTAAAATTCACTCTGGCTATGATAAATATCATTTTAAGACATTCTGCCTACTCGTTCAACAATTTACATCGCTCAAGTTTGTATCCAATGGAGCATAGGCATTCGTAGGAGCCTGGGATATTTATGCATGAGTGATATTTGACACAAGGAGAAGACTGACTTTCGCCGATATCTAATGTTTCACAATAAAGTTGTTTGAAAATGTGTACCATAAATTAAGCAATTTTATTTTATGTCTAATTTAAAGATGTGTAATAAATAAATATGAAATTTTTTGTTTAATTTATTACTTTTCAATATTTCTTAATTGATTTTACGAGAATGTAAAAACATAATTGAATGTAAAAACAAAATTATATGAAATTAAAGCATATTATCTATACCAAACAAGCTCGACGGTTTACCCGCAATAAATCCTTTAAAAAAATTTTTTACAAGAAATGGAAAAATCATATATGATCCAAGCATGTCGTCATAGATATGCATATCTTGGTATGAAAAGCAGCGGTATTTGGAGACGTTACATCTTGCCGTAAAATTTTAAAAAAATATTATTCAATCAAGCTTTATTCATTGCTCCATCAAGCAGTGTTCATTTTCAAATTTATTGTTTTCTAAGTAAATCAACACAGAAAAACCAACAAAACAAGACTAAATAAAAGCAGGTTGGCTACAACCAGGTCCAAAACTAGAACGTTGATTGAGGAGGGGTTGAATATTCATATATGTGCGAATATTTATGTTTTGTGACCTAATGTGCTCAGCAGTAGGGTGTAACGGACAAAGAAGTTATGAAAATAGGAATGGCTAAGAAGGTATGGCATTTTCATTATTGCCTAAAAGCAGGTCTTTTGAATTTATATAAGTTTGGGGAAGCTTCATCTAAGGTTCCGTTTTTGACACATATACTCGGGCAAAGACTATTATTAAACATAACTCTTAATTATTTTTGATATTTAAGTGACCATTCCCTGCATACCAGTTCTTTATTGAATTGTCATCTTTAAGTATGAACTAAGATATACTTGCAATTCTTCAGATTGGCCAAATTTGGTACCACATTAATTTTAGTTAAATATGTTAAACTATTTTTGGGGATAAGAGAATTATTTGTCTTTACCCATTAACATTTCACCTTGGGCCATTGATTGAATTACTCTTAGTTGCACAAAAAGTTCAGAATTCGCTTTTAGTGCTCAACAGTCTACTACATGGTCGAATGAGTTATCTAGTTCTAACAATTTTTTGGCAGGAAAACAATAACTAAAGAATGCAACCATTTTACTACAAAATAGTACATTTGTGTAAGGTACCTAATGTATTGATAATTATAGAAGCTACTCACAGTTTAAATTACGTCTCTCACGTTGACAGATGAAGTTAAAGTGACGCCCACATCTAACAAAATTCCACTTGTAAAATTTATATACAACGCATTTCTCTATGCGAAATATTTGGCAACTAGGTCCTCCAGGATAACATAATGTAAAACTGGGCTTGCCATTTTGAGCTGTGTGAAACTGATTGCCGCTTTCTTTGCGATACAAACCAATAAAATGACGTTTACTGCCTTTTCTTAAGATGATTCTGTAAATGGCATACTTCTCTGCATTATTTTTTGGAACAGCAAGATCTCCTCCCATCTGTTGACAAAGCTTTCTTGCTTTTTTCCATGTTGCTGCTTTTGTACTGAAGAAATAACAAGATGATCCTATATGCAACCAATCAGAAGGACAGCTTGCTAGACGAATGAAAAAATAAATAAGACAACAATAACAAGTAATTATTTTCAGAATGATTTGTACGAATAGAATAGAATATTTAAAATGCTTAAACAGGCAGGATTGTGTTTTGCAGACAGATGTTGTTTAAAACAAGTCTTTCAATACCTAAAGGGTTTTTAAGAATGAGGAGGGTCTTTGAGCTGGTTTTGTAGAGTAGCCACAAGTTGCAGAGTAAAGTATAATAAAATACAATTCTTAAAAACATTGTATAGAAATTGTAAATGAAATAAAAGACATTTATTGTGAAGCTTATGTAGTCCGGCTAACACTTGACATTTTAATCATAAGGGGAATCCTTTGTGTTTAAATGGATGGTTATAATAATCGTTAAGTGTTGATGTGGATTTGTTATGTATTTATATTGTGCATAATCAACTGTCTGTTTTAGACTAAAAACTTATTCATTCCATAATGTTTTAATGGAGAAAGAAATACTAAAATAAGGAAATCATAACATCAAAAATGTGCATGAACTTGAGTTAAGCTCTCAAATATAGCTCATTTTTACGCCCATTTCAAATAATATTCCTAATTTTCCAAATTAAAGTCAATTTCATTGTATTGTGTGCTTACATGAAATTTTTTTATGTCTGAATAAAAAATTCCAGTGTAACTCTAATAGCTTTAAATTGAATAGTAAGAAATTCATTTGAAATTTTATTAAACCCAGTAGAAATTTAATGCCATCTACTGAAAAACGTTATTACACCTTATTTACATACACTTTTTGACCTTATTTATTGTACCTCTTAAAAATATTGCTTATTTAGGTTTTTAAAGGAAGTAAATGCTTAATAGTAAAACATAATTTTCTTACATCGAAAATTAACAAGATATGTAAGAATGAATGTTATCAGTGCATACCACCCATACTAAGCGGCGGATGACTAATTGCGCGGCCTGTAAGCTTCAAAAAATTTGTGGGACTTTAAGTGATATAACTTTCTCCCAAAAATTACAGTCTTTTGAGGACGTTTCCGTTTCTTATGCTCCTTTGCCTTTGCTTCAGTTTTGTTACTCATAGTGTAAACATTATAGAATAAATTTAAATTTCGAACGAGATAAACTCACTACTTTATGAGTTCCATACATAGAGCATTACAATAGTATCGTACAGTTTCCAACAGGATATATTATAGAAATTTTGAACATTTATCTCATCTAGAATGGCAAAGTGTAAAAACTATGTTTAAAAAGAACAGGACTTTTAAAAACGCGGGAATGTAAGCTTCAGCCTACATAGCATACTGAGTAATCGGACAACGGCCATATTTGTCTGTTCTTGGAATAAGTTCATAAAGCTACAATCCATTGGTTGAAGACATTTGATGCAATATTATTGAGGTGCACTCATTCTAGGAGGTCTGTAAGCAGGTCTGTCAAAATGCTTTTTAAGGTTTGGGTTTACAGAATTCTTAGTTTACAAAAGTCAACCAATAATAAACTCAAGACTATCTAATATGGTGTATCTAGGTTAGCAGGGCCATAGCTAGATTACTAACTTCAGGAGGAGTGTTAAACCTAACCTTAACCCTTGCCCTAACCCTAACACTACACCCTCCTTAATGTAGAGAAAATCAAAATATGTTATTGCTAACATATGCTATTGTCATTTAGAGAACCATACACTTTCAATGTAGTGTGCTGAGGGAGTTTTAAGAGTATCGAAGCTTTTCATAAATTTATTACTGATTTTCTGCTTAAAGTAAATGGTTTGAACCCGGGAGTATCGTTATATGTTTGTAAATGATGATCGTCCAGGTTAATAAAGTCCTGAGAAGGACTGTTTTTGATGTTGTTGACTGACGTTTCGACAACCTTAGCGGTAGTCATCTTCAGAGTCAAATGAGGAGTAAACGTCAGGTTAGCCGTATTTGTTGTCTGGTTCTTACGTCATTGTATTGTGTGTACAGGAAATGTGCAGGAAATGTGTATTGTCATTGTGGATTAGTGTGAAGTGAAATATTTTATTTTTAGTTGTGATGTGTGATTTAGGTGTGACGTTTTTAGTTGTAGTGTGTGGGTGTCAATTGTGTATTGTCATTGTGAATTAGTTTGAAGTGTAATGTTTTTAGTTGATCGTTTGTTTGTATTGTGAATAAGTCGTTTGTAAGGTGCCGGTAATTGCTGTGATCTGTTCAGGGGGGTTTGTTCCAAGTTGGTATACCAACTTTCTATTGTAAGCCGTTGTCTATAGTCAGTACTGTAAGTGATGCATTTTGCCGAGTCCCAGTCAATGTTGTGCTTTGTGATTCGGTGATGTTCGGCAATGTGATTAGTTTTGTCTTGTTTCTTAGTAGCTCGTTTGTGCTCAGTAAGTCTTATGTTTAAGTTCCTGCCAGTTTCCCCGATATAGGAGGCGTGGAAGTCAAAGCAGTTTATTTTGTAACTATTCAAACTAATTCACAATGACAATACACAATTGACACCCACACACTACAACTAAAAACGTCACACCTAAATCACACATCACAACTAAAAATAAAATATTTCACTTCACACTAATCCACAATGACAATACACATTTCTTGCACATTTCCTGTACACACAATACAATGACGTAAGAACCAGACAACAAATACGGCTAACCTGACGTTTACTCCTCATTTGACTCTGAAGATGACTACCGCTAAGGTTGTCGAAACGTCAGTCAACAACATCAAAAACAGTCCTTCTCAGGACTTTATTAACCTGGACGATCATCATTTACAAACATATGATTTCCTGCTTGATATTATTGATAATGATGAAATTGTATGTTTGGCTGTGAGCCTTATTTTGTGGTTACATGTAAAATGTAGATGCAGCAAATTCCTTGCACATAAGCAACAGCACAGAGAACATCTCAGGATTCTCAACAAAGAACAAAGTTTTAAAACTGCACAAAGATGCTCTTTATTCAAGATCGGCGATAAAAAATATTGATAAAGACAGTAATAAATCCATACCTTGGCACGAGTTACATTCTCCTGAGTATCCTTCCATACACGTGCAGTTCAATGTTCCATTAATTTTACGATAGTATGTGTTGGGTCCACACAAAGGAAAGTGAAAAGTGCTTGTCGCTATATCGATCAATAAAATTAAAAATAAAATCAACCAGGGATTTTAAACGAAACATATTCTTCCTCAAAGAACACAATTTGTCACTCAGTATGCACGTTCACGTACCCAGAAAGCAAGTTTGTAATGCAATGTTGGTAATTTTGGTGTTCGCGCATTTCGTAAAAACAAAACAATTAAATAAATGTTGAAAATTTACAGTGTATGAAGAAATTTGCTGGCTGTTTGGGACACTATAAAGGATATACTATGAAGTTAGATAATTGAAAAATGTTCAGAAAATTATCAATTCATCAGTAGTTCTCACAAAATGTGTCAAAGCTCATTTATTTTGGCATGGCTTTGCCTTGTTTATTTAAAGTAAAATGAATGAAAAAACTAATCTCAAAAACCATGTGAGTACTTCGTAATCGCCTCAACTTGAACAGCATGCACAAAGAAAATGAAAAGTTCAAATCTAGTTTAATCCAAAGATGTAAAAGTTTAAACTCTGTTTTGCAATATACTAAAATTTTAAGAAATTTGATCAACATTAACCTCACTGCACAACATGCTCAATTTGGACGTTTTTGTCTTTCAATCTATTTTCATGATTTTTTTTTTTATTTCAGACTGATTTCAAGCCCAAGTGATTGTTTAAATGATGTAAGAAACAATAAAGACTTAAATTTAACACCCAAGAGGTTTGATAAGAATAGACAAACGGCAAAAATGTCCAAATTAGACACTTTTCACTTTGAACTTAATGTTCATCAAATTTTCTATAATTTTGGAAGGAAGAACAACCGTTTACTAAGGCAATGTAACTTTGAACTTTTTAACGTCTTTCTATTTTATGAACATTAGTGTGGGAGTTTTTACAAGTCTTAGATTATTATGTCAAATTAGTAAATATTTAACTACCGTTTGAGTCAGGAGTGATACTGTGTACAGCTACATCAAAATAATCGTTGTTAGCAGGAAGAAAATATTTGCGTCTCGTACGTTGATTTGTTGTGTTATGGACACTAACGACACTTTGTCCAACACTAGTCATGATACAAATAAAATCCCCAAATACTGCCATGGGACCTCCTGAAGTTCCAAAATCAATTACATTATGGGAGTAGTAATCACAAGAAAAAACATTTCCGTTTGAAACTCGCCAATAAATCTTCTCTTTAGCCATGTCAAGCGTTAGATCATGTGCTATTGACTGAAGTGAAACTGAAAAAATATGATGTTTATTTGCAGCAATGCTCCATAACCATAAGAAAAGTTGTGTACTTTCTGCCAAGAATAGATACCTTAATAAAAATATTTGTTATGTACATTAGTTTTCTCTATACGTACTGAAATACATAAACAATTGGCAGGCTAATATATACAAGAAAAGAAAGATAGAATACTTTTTTAGTTTAGACAAAGATGTTGTCAAAGTATTCCGAACTACCTTCATATATAGACGGTTTAATGGAACATATTCATAAAATTTGATAATATAGCAACATAAAGCTATTGTAACTAATAGGAAAAGATCACCTTTATCATTTGAAATCTCTCTTTTAAAAT